TCTACTATAATAGTTTTATAATACTTTTCTTAGTAAATAAATTTCTAAACATGGTGTTGTCCCACGGGGCCCTACCATTTGGTTGGATCAAGATTAAACTCATTTTACACAAACGTGCATTATGCATCTCATAACTTGTCTAAAATCAAACTTTGAACTCCATTGATAATCTATAAAATCCATTGCAATAGAATGACTAGGTGACATTAAAATCATCAACATTTATATACAAGAATTGTTAAATGTTTATGATATGCAAATGGTCAAATTCTATATTATATATGTTTATAGTATGTAGCTTGTTAAATATATATGTAATGCAAAGTTAATGGTTATGATTATTTATGGTTACAAACACAAGGTTTCCTGATGCTTATGGTATACAAAATGTAAATGGAATGTTGAAAAGTATATTAAGGAGATATTCATAAAAAGTAGGTATATATACTTAGGAGTTTTTTTTGTTATCGTATAAATAAGGAAAATTGTTACTGTAGCACAACAAAGTTTAACAAATTTATACATTTAGTCACTAATTTTTTTTTGCGCAATTAGTCCTTAACATTAGGATTGACCGTCTAATTAAGGGTTTGGGGGAAATTGTCTCAGGTTTACAGGTCACGTGCCGACGTGTCTTGACCTACGTGGACTTCAGATAGACCATGTCACCGTACACAGTGGCATATGTTCCTTAAATGGAACCCTCAATTTAACCAAGTCCAATACATTCTTACCCCAAATTAGGTCATTCTCTCCCTCCCGATACCCTCCTCCTGATCGTTAAAACCAAACAATGTCTGCCTCGGTTGGTCGATCCATCAAACCCTTCGTATTCGACACCATGGAGATGATGAACAATGTTCCCTGTGTAAGTGTAAAGATGGAATCAGCATCGAAAGAACTTCGTGGACTGATGACATCCCAGCTCGCAGGTTTTGGAACTACAAAAATTCGTTTGTAAGTATTCCTAATCTTTATTTCCACCCAATTTGGTATCTTTACCTGGAAAATGCACAAATTTATGTTAATTGTAACCCTAATTGTATTGTCTATTTGTAATCAGTCAAGTGCAACTCCAAGCTGTAAATTTTTCTTGTGGAAAGACGATGAAATAGAGGAGGGGTATTACAAAGACCAACTTTGTAAGATGAGGTATGAGCTACGCAAAAAGGAAGACTACAGTGAGGTTGTGAAGGCTTAAAAGAAAGTGGTTCACTCGAGCAAGTTAGGGATGAACTGTAGGAGTTGAGGGAAGCTGAGAATGAAGTTTTTGAGATATAGTTGATGGAGATTAATAAGAAAAATGCTATCATGAAGACTTACATGGGATATACAAAGTGTTTCATCCTTGTTTTGTTCATTGTAATCATTGGGATGTGGTTGAAATGTGTCTGAGTATATGGTAGTACTGATGGTTGATGATATATAATTATAACTACTCTTTTAGATAGTATATGGGTAGTTGATCATCACATTAAAAAGTTTTTTGGTTATTGGATGTGTGACAACCCAGAGAATACGTCGTCAACCGCCGTATGTATCTAACGATAACACATGAAAATATAATAAGGACGATCTTGTAACTACCTAATATATGTCAATACCTAATATATGTCAATATATTCGACCAACACCTTAATAACGTCAAACTCTTAGGCTAAAAAATAAGTTCACTAAAAGTCACGTCACTTTGAGAACAGGTTAACATATTTAGATTCTATATGATACCACGGTCCTAGAAATATAGGTTTTGCAACAATCCGGCTCAGTATGGGTGAGATATAACCTTTATAGTAAATAAGTATCTATTGTACTTTAGAAGTTACAATGATGAAAACTACAAGGAAAATGGTTGACTTTTGGAAAAAGTCACCAACTAGACGATCATAATACTACTTAAAGTATGAATTATGAAACAAAGAACACCTAAACTGGAAACCGTATGAGGGAATTATGATTTTTATGAAACTATAACAATAATAAAAACTAATCGAAAAACGGAAGTTAAAACTAGCCAAAACAACCAAAAGGAAAGTTGTAAAGAACAACGAGACCTACAAAAATATATAAGAGTCATAGAAAACCGAGTTCGTACGTGAGAGTTATGAATTTTCCAAGATTATAAAGCATCTTCGCGAGCACCCGCATGCAAGGCGCGACACATATTCTCTCCAGGATACGGATGATGTGGCAGCATGAGAACGGGACACGTGTTAACGCCTAGTGGTTCACGTGCATTACGTGGTGCGCAATGCGCGATGTGCATATGAAAATCTCCCTATAAATAGCAGACTCAGATTTATCCCTTCTCACACCACAAACACGCCTCACACACACACACACACACACACACACACTCTCTCTCTCTCTCTCTCTCTCTCAATATTTGGACAAATAACTCCCGAACGCCTCTCGAGTGCTGGATCTCCCAGTTTTCTACCCTACATCAACGATTTCACAAATTACAGTGTAACATCCTGTTTCCTGTCATTTTTTATTTCATGGTCGTGGGCCGGAAGTCGATTGTTTAAAGGCTTTGGGCCTTAAGGAGATAATTTTTAGACCTTTTTAAAGGAGGAAATGATGGTTGCGAGATCTTAACCTTCGAATTGTGTTTTGGTCCGAAGGGCAGAAAAGGGAAAGTCATAGGCTGGGTTCTTGCATGAAATATGGATTTTTGTTTGACAAGTTTTTAGTCCAAGATATCTAGATAATATTGTAGGGATCTTCAATACCTTTACGTGGATATAAAGATCGTCGAAAACAAAGTTGGAATGCATAAGAAATAGGAAACCACAACTCGACGTAAGCTCATAAGCATTCGTAAAGTAGAAGCGACGAGATCACGAAACGAAAAGGGAAGAGGTTCAATAGAGCCTTAGCATGACTGATCAATAAGAACTTTAAGTTTCCTCTTATTGTAAAACAAAATAGAGATAAGACTCTAATCGAATAAACACTAAAAGAATGACAAGAAGTTGAATAATTAGAATTAGAAGTATACATTCAACTGCCTCACGAAACAATCGTTCGCTAGTTGACAAGCACCCAACAAAATTAAAACTTAAAAGAAAAGTTTAATCATTAAACACTTCTGGACGCAACCACCAGCCTCACAATGGAACTCAAAACAGTTCCAAATCTCATTGCAAAAATAAACCTTAAGAAGAAAGCGTCCTTCTATAAAGCTACGCCATAGGAATAATTTCAAAGTTTTAAATTCATTAAGATCCTCTCAATAAGGTGCCTCCACGTCACGCACTACAAGTTGAATTTCAGGGACAAAATTTCCTTCAACAGGGAGGGGATGTGATAACAAACAGAATACGTCATCAACCGCTGTATGAATCTAACGATAAAACACGAAAATATAATAAGAATGATCGTGTAACTACCTAATATATGCCAATATATTCGACTAACACCTTAATTATGTCAAACCTTAGGCTCGAAAATAAGTATACTAAAAGTCGCGTCACATTGAGAGCAGGTTAACATATTTAGATTTTATACGATACCGCGATCCCCAAAATATAGGTTTTGCAACAATCTGACTCAGTGTGTGTGAGATATGACATTTATATTAAATAAGTATCTATCGTATTTTAGAAGTTACAACGACGAAAACTACAATGAAAATGGTTGACTTTTGGAAAAACTCACAAACTAGACAATCGTAGTACTACTTAAAGTAGGAATTATGAAACAAAGAATACCTAAAACGGAAACCATATGAGGGAATTATGATTTTAATGAAATCATAACAGTAATAAAAACTAATCGAAAAACGGAAGTTAAAACTAGCCAAAACAACCAAAAGGAAAGTTGTAGAGAACGACGAGACCTACAAAAACATATAAGAGTCGTAGAAAATGGAGTTCGTACGTGGGAGTTATGAATTTTCCATGATTATAAAGCATCTTTGCGAGCACCCACACGCAAGACGCGACATGCATTATGACACTCTGATCCTCCTGGATACTGATGACATGGCACTGTGAGAACAAGGATTCGATTGCGTGGGGACAAGGCTTGAAAACTCAAACCTTGAGTTAATGCTTAAGATCAATGTCTGCTTCTGATTATAAGTTCCAGTCAAGTCTGGCAAGACCAGTCAAGACTTGAAGATGAAGATCAACAAAGTACTTCAAGTATTAAATATGAGACTATGAGTATAACCAAGGTAAAGACAATAAATGAACACAAGGAATGTTTGAAAGAATGATTTGAGAGAAAGATGCAAGTGAAGTAAATGTAAAAATATCTATCTTTGGAGCAACAATCCGTCTACTATTCTTGTCATTAAATGCTCCTTATATAGGAGAAAGAGTTACATCGGATAAACCAAGTTACTTACATAGGACCGGATAAAGTGATTACTTCTGACACTTCAGATTATCCATTTTGACAAAATAAACTAAGTCCTATGAACTGTTACATCAAGTAAAAGACAAGAATAATAAATGCAAGACGGAAAGATAATCTCTGAACAAATTCTTCACTTCAGACATAATCTCTTCCACTCCGGACACCATCATCACTTCGGACCACAGACTGACTCTGGAACATATCTCACTTCGGAACTAAGACTGACTTCGCAACATACAAGAGTTAGAGATTGGTAGAGGTTCACTTTCAGGTTCCAACAATCTCTCCCTAACTGAACTTAGCAATCCAATCAGCTTAGTTAGAATCTTCCTTAATGAACACGTACGCCCGGTACAACCATTCTCTAACTCCGATGTACCATTGCAGCTGACTTATGAACTTTAACTTCACGTGCTCGGGTGTTTCAGACTTTGATGCTCGACTTATGAACTTCTGAAGGGACTTGGTGGAAACCAGGAATTTGTCAAGGACTCGGAAGAAGTCCTTATGGTTTGTTTTTCGTTGATGATAGACAAAACCTAGTACTGGTTCATCTATAGGTCCTTCTGCCAAGATTTCTGCTTCTGGCAGTTTGAAGTCGATTTTGGCAAAGTATTTTTCTGTTCCGAATAGATGGGCCAGCTCAAAGTCGCATCGAAAAAATTCAGCAACGTAATCTTTGAGGAAGCTCAAAGCCGCGTGGTAAGCGCCCATACTCAGATCATCAGTTTAATGATTTCAGAAGTGTGCCGCAATTGTCAGAATGTCGTTTGGGTTGATAACAGGGAAGTCGGCGTCAGTGATGGTTTTCTGAATTGGTTTGTTTCAGAAGATGTGGTACCGGAACAACACACAGTTGAGTTCAAACTTGGTTAGGATCCTCCTTCCGAATCCGGAAATCTTGGTGATCATTTTTTGAGACCAGACTTCTTTTTGAGGAAGTGCGTTCTTGGAATAAAAGGTCTTCAATCTTTCACATTCAGTCCGGATGATCATTTGAGTTGATCAAGATGAGCTTCTTTTTCAGCAACAGTGGGTCCAGATTTGTTAGCTTCGGACAATGAGTTAAGGATTGCATTAAGCTTTGAATCCAGTCTAGAAAGCTTTTCATCAATCTTTGTGTTGAGTCCGGACACAGAAGATTCGATGGCATCAACTTTCTTCATGGTATCAGAGAGGTTGTATCGAAGTTCCAGAAGGGCAAAAGGATCAATGTATTCCCTGCAGATGATCATGTGTCCGAAGTGGAGGTCTGAGATGCATGCTTGTCATCTCCTAAATTCACTGGTGATTCCGGGGCAGGACCAGGCTTGGTTGTTGTAGCAGCAGTGTCTTGTTTGGGAGTGGATTCAGTTTCACCTTCAGGATTGACTTGGACTTGATCCTCTATATGAATTTCTTCGTCAATTGGTTCCGAAGACGATGAAGATAGTCCGAAGTCCAAATCCAGCCTTGACGAGGAGGGCTTTGAAGGAAATGGAAATGATGAGAACATCTTGGGAGCAGCGATTGAGGCACCTTCATCGTCGAACATAACTTTGTCAGAATGTTCTTCATTTGGATCAGGATGCATGGAATCATGAAGATGAGTCTTTGGATTTTCTCCGGAAGCATATTCCAGATCGATGATTTCATCAGTGGGGGCAACGAAGGGCAAGTTGCTCTAAATGGCCGTATTCCTTATGGAGATGAGAGTTGCTTCGACCTTGGATCTGGAGACCTCCGGATGTCTTGACTAAGCCCTGTCAATAAAATATTCCCACATAGGATCGTTACCTCCTGTTCGTCCTGTACCCTTACCGGGTATCAGACCAGTTGAGGCATCTAATGTCA